TTGTATTGTGCTTTTAGATTTTTATTACTCTCAGCATGACCGAAATGCTTTGGTAGAATTTTGTTGGGTTGTTTTACTCTCAAGGAATACACCTATATCCTGCTATATCTGTAGAAACTCTGTGCCACCCCCAGTGTGTTGTTTTGGCCTTTGCTCATTCTGCCTGTGGAACAGTGATTGACATCATTGAGACCTTTGAGTATTAGGTCAGTTGAAAGACTTTGCCAAAGTAGACATTGAATTTATTCACCTGTTGCATTTTGAGATGCGAGATGATTTTTTTTTCTCATGCAAAACACCCTTCAGAACACATCAGTTGAAAAGGAACCTATTTTATAATCCCAGTCTCAGCCCAGCAAAGCAGAATTACTCCCAGCAATAGCTGAGCTGCAGGATCAGCTGCTGTGGGTATCACGACCCCATTAGTACATTACAGATACCTTACTGCTAGATTCTTCTTTATGCCTTTAGAAATTCCAAATCTATGGAAAATAAAAGCAAACCTGCTCCAAGAACATGTGAGGATGAACACAATAGAAAACCATCAAATAACATTGAATATGATGGAATATAACACACAATTCTTTGTTTACTGCATTTATGATGGAATATAACAGACAATTCTTTGATTACTGCATTAAGACACTACAGTTTTAAAATAAAGTTGTGCACGGTTGCATTTATTGTCATGTTTTAGATGCTTTAAAACATTTTTGCCTGTTAGTGGCTTGAAGTATAAACAGGATGGTTGTTGCATAGTAGGATGGATGCAAGGTCCTGTAAATTAACAAGACTTCAGTCCTGCCCTGCCCTTGCTTTCAAATGGAGACCCTGAGTGAAAGCATGTTTTATATTCAATATGGAATGTGTAGACAAAAGACAAAGAGCCAAATTGACAGCTGCACAGGCAGAATAAGGCAAGTTCTTTTGAAAATACTATTCTTCTTTCTGCTTTGCTTAGTTTGTGCACTCCTGTTACCTTTGTTATGATCCAGCTCCTCAGAGGAGGCCAGCGAGGCAGAACACAGGGACATACCGGGTCTGGGGAAGTCAAAAACTCTTCGCGTATGAAATAGTTTGATGGTATTTGTAATTTTGCAAAGCTGTGTGTGGTACTGAGTGACTCTTGTCAATACTGAGCAGGTCCGAAACCTGATCAGCATCAAGAGAGGAACGAAAATGCAGCAGGAAGTGAGTAACAGGATTCTTTCAGCAGCCAATGGAGAGACTTCTCCACTGAGACTTAAACTAATACGCTAAAAATCCTTTTTTATTTAACCACTAACGAGTTGTACATCTGGACTAGCCACTTGCTCCATGGCGAAGCTGCATCTAACTGCATCGTGAGAGTGCCTGAGATGCTGAGCACTCTTTGAGCTTCAACAGCAAAAGCTTTGCAAAAGCTGAACTTGGCCATTGCAAACAATCCCATCGTGTGGCCGGTGCTTCGTTTCGTGCCATAAATCCGTGCCCCTTTAATGGCTGTTTGTTGCCAAATCACTCTCTGTCACACGATACTCAGTGTTGGTGCATTTCACAGTGTGTATCCAGCCCAAAGATACAGAGCTTTAGTGAGTTTAGAGCACGGAAAATTCTGAGCTTACTGCAAACCGTGTTTTTGTAAGGCTGGTGCTTGTGCAATGAAGCTTTGGGCAGTGAGAGAGAGTAGAAGTGAACTTCAGGAGAGGTAAACAAAAGTTGAAGAGATGGGCTCCAAAGAAGTGCATTATTCTGCCCCTCTACTCTGCACTGGTGAGGCCACAACTGGAATACTGCCTCCAGTTCTGGGCTCCCCAGTTCAAGAGGGACAGGGAACTACTGGAGAGAGTCCAGCGTAGGGCTACAAAGGTGATTCAAGGACTGGAGCATCTCCCTGATGAGGAGAGGCTGAAAGAGCTGGGACTCTTTAGTCTGGAGAAGAGAAGGCTGAGGGGAGACCTTATTAAAGCCTACAAGTATCTCAAGGGTGGGCTGAGGGAGGAGGGAGCCAGACTCTTTTCAGTGGTTCCCAGTGAGAGGACAAGGGGCAATGGGCACAAGTTGGAACATAAAGGGTTCCACTTGAATATGAGGGAGAACTTTTTCACAGTGAGGGTGGCAGAGCCCTGGAACAGGCTGCCCAGGGAGGGTGTGGAGTCCCCTTCTCTGGAGATCTTCAGGACCCACCTGGATGCAGTCCTGAGTAACATGCTCTGAGAAGCTCTGGGTGGTCCTGCTTTAGCAGGGGAGTTGGACTAGATGATCACTATGGTCCCTTCCAACTCTAAAAATTCAGTGAAATTCAATGAAATTAATGAGATACGCATCTTCTAATGAACTAGGAACACTTGAAACTTCGTTCTTCAGGTCTAAAAATTGCTTGATTTACACAAATTTTCCTGTTGCAATTAATTAGACTGAGTAAATAAAGGAACCGAGTTTGGCTTGTACACTAACTTCTTACCAAGAACCTTGTGATGAGCCTCATGCCAGTGCTGGTAGGGTCAGTGCGAGGGCTCTTATCCTTGTTCTGGGAAGAAAATCGAGGAGGTAAACTGGAACTGAAAGTGTTTTCTCCATCTCGTTTGACTGGAATGTGCTTGCAGCACCGAGGCTTGTGTGCTGTTCTATTTCTTGAATGTAACAAGCTGAACAACATAATTAAATCTTAAATAATTAAATTAGATTCTGCCCCTCTACTCTGCTCTCGTGAGACCCCACCTGAGTACTGTGTCCAGCTTTGGATACAAGTTTGGATGTCCAAGATATCAGAGGGCTGGAGCACCTCTCCTATGAGGACAGGCTGAGAGAGTTGGGGTTGTTCAGTCTGGAGAAGAGAAGGCTCCAGGGAGACCTTATAACAGCCTTCTAGTACTTGAAGGGGGCTACAGGAGAGAGAAGGGGACACTCATCAGGAAGTGTAGCAATAGGAGGAGGGGTAATGGTTTTAAACTGAAAGAGGGGAGATTTAGATGAGATATTAGAAGAAATTCTTTACTGTGGGGGTGGTGAGACACTGGAACAGGTTGCCCAGGGAAGTTGTGGCTGCCCCATCCCTGGAGGGGTTCAAGGCCAGGCTGGATGGGGCTTGGAGCAACCTGGTCTGGTGGGAGGTGTCCCTGCCCAGGGCAGGGGGGTTGGAACTCCATGATCTTTAAGGTCCCTTCCAACTCAAACCATTCCATGATTCTATGACAATGGCTAGTTAAATGGATTTCTTTTACTTTATGAGCCAATACTTGTGTATTTTTGGAAGGGGAGGTTGGAAAGGGTGGCGTTTTTTGCTCTTCTAACTAATTCTGTCTGAATTTTAGGTACGTAAAGACCTACCTGCTCCCAGAGAAATACAAGCTGGGCAAAAGGAAGACCTCTGTGAAGAAGAAAACTTTCAATCCAGTCTATAATGAAATCCTGCGGGTATTTATCAACTATTAATAGACATGAAATACTGTGTGTGTGAAGTATGAGGAGCTTCAACTTCTAGGTACAGGTCCAGATGGTCTCAAGAGGGACATCTGTGTCAGGATGAGATGGATTAACCCCTAGAAGTACCTACGTCCTCCCAGTGACAGGTTAACTCCACTCTAGATACAGCATTGGGAACACTGATTGTTGTGTGCCTCTTGCAAACAAACACAAGCTAAATATGAGCTTAAGATGCTGATATTGAAATTGATGAAATAAATTCATCGATGAAATAAAAAGTAAACGGTGAAGGGAGTTTTGCTTTGAAATAAAGAAGTGAGCAGTTACAGATGTCTAATCCCAGACACGTTTTTCTCAAACCTTGTCCCTTTCATGTGCCAGCATTGATGAAAATCCAGCTTGTTTTAGCTTTTTTTCTCCTTTCTTCCTCCTTGCAGTACAAAATTGAGAAGAGTCTCCTACAGAACCAAAGCCTTAATATCTCTGTCTGGCACAACGATACCTTTGGGAGGAACAGCTTCCTCGGTGAAGTGGAGCTGGATTTAGGGACCTGGGACTGGAATGATAAATCCAACAAGCAGATCAAGTGGCTTCCACTCAAGCCAAGGGTAAGGCTGGGTTGGCTGTTTCCTATTTTCCACTGTGCAAGTAGTTATGATCATAAAATACATCTTTACTGGTAAATGGAACGTACAGTTCTGGGGTTTCTATTAGGCAAGTAAGTAGCTGGCTCTTCCAGGAGGAAAAACTTTCTCATAGTAGGAATTTCAAGGTATTTTTCACTTACGTCGTGTTGCTGCAACAGAGACATGAAGACACTTGTTCCTGGAATATGAAGCAAACCTTTATGGTCCCTTCCAACTCTAAAAATTCCATGAAATTCTGTGAAAATTAGCTCAATCCAAAGATTTATAATTTGTAGAACGAACCAGGAATGTCACGGTAGCCTGTGGCACTACTTTAATTCAACTGATTTTCAAACTGCTCTGGGTAGATAAATGGAACCAAATTTCACTGAATTTCACTGAATTTCTAGAGTTGGAAGGGACCATAGAGATCATCTAGTCCAACTCCCCTGCTGAAGCAGGATTGCCTAGAGCTAGAGCATGTTACTCAGGAGCATCCAGGCGGGTTTTGAAAATCTCCAAAGAAGGGGACTCCACACCCTCCCTGGGCAGCCTGTTCCAGGGCTCTGTCACCCTCACCGTTTAGCAGGGGAGTTGGACTAGATGATCACTATGGTCCCTTCCAACTCTAAAAATTCAGTGAAATTCAATGAAATTAATGAGATACGCATCTTCTAATGAACTAGGAACACTTGAAACTTCGTTCTTCAGGTCTAAAAATTGCTTGATTTACACAAATTTTCCTGTTGCAATTAATTAGACTGAGTAAATAAAGGAACCGAGTTTGGCTTGTACACTAACTTCTTACCAAGAACCTTGTGATGAGCCTCATGCCAGTGCTGGTAGGGTCAGTGCGAGGGCTCTTATCCTTGTTCTGGGAAGAAAATCGAGGAGGTAAACTGGAACTGAAAGTGTTTTCTCCATCTCGTTTGACTGGAATGTGCTTGCAGCACCGAGGCTTGTGCGTCACGTCAAGCAAAGTAAACTCATCTGCTCCTGCCAGACAAAGTTCTTTGGTCAGGGTTAGAGGAGATGTCAAAGTAGCTCATCTTTCCTAATGGTAGCTTCTCTGAGTCCTACAGGGAGAGTGGTGGAAATCTTGCGTCCAAGATGTAAACTGGTTGTGCATGTGCATGTGTTTCATCTGAATTTTGTTTCTAACCGTGTCCTGTTATGGATTCTCGCTGGTTTGATGCACAAACTTATTTTTGAAACCTTTTGAATTGCTGCTCTCCAGTCTCCACAGTGCCTTCGCAGCCCGAGAAGCCGTTTGCCAATCCTGAGAAACTCAAAGGACTGAGCAAGTCGGTACCGTCGTTCCTCCAGGACGAGGCAAGTTCCACCTCCAAAATACCTCAACTAAGAATTCAAGTTACTGTGGCATCAGGCATTTGCCAACTGGTGCTTCCCAGGGTCTGCCAAGTCTGGTTGATGCTGGACCATGGAGTTGAGCTTGTCAGGAGATGATCAATCAGGAGATGATCCAAACAACCTGTGGCTAATCAACCTTTCCGAAGCTTTAGCCCAGCAATTAGAGGTTTATGCTTCCTACTGCAAAACACACAGAGCACTGATGGTGTTTGCTCCAGACCAGAAAGGGAGTGGGAAAAGATGTTATGCACAAGAGAGGGAAGTAAAGAAGTTGAGTTTAATTGTCCCAATGAAGTTAACTTTCTACTTTCTCATCGCTATTTGAGATTTAAAACCAAACAAAAAACCCAGTTGCATTAATTTAAATTTTTTAAAAAATTTAAAAATTTTTCATTGTAGGCTTTCCATCAGAAAAATTCCCTTTCAACTCTTTAAGTGCGCGAGCTAATTTAAGAAATGTTAATTACTTATGTGGTGCTACAAGGGGATATAAATTCAGGTTTTCACCAAGTCCCAATCTGCATTAAAATTCTGTTTGTTGCTTTTTAATGTTCCCTGTGACTTATAAAGAACCTACACAGACTTTCTTTCTGTGCTGTTTTTGTAGAGTGATGACAGAGAGACAGATACAGCCTCAGAAAGCAGTTATTCCCTTGGCAGAATCAAGAAGAGTCCCAGCTCTCTAACCAATCTTAGCGGCTCTTCTGGCATGGCCTCCTTGTCCTCTGTATGTAAACCAACGCCTCGGCTTAACCGCACCACGCTTTCGCTCATCTCCTCGGGATCGGTTCGGCTCCCTTCCTATTCCTCTTCTCTGTCTTCCCTTGGCATCTCCATCTCCTTCCTTCCCTCTCTGTTTTGTGAACCCTTGCATGGAATCGCCTAAAAAAAATATGAAATGGATCGGTTTTCCTTGTTCTTCTTTTCTAATAATATATTAGTCCTGTGCAGGACCCCATTATTCAGCTTAGAATTCAGCTTATTCTATAAATGCTGAACAAAGAGGTGGTTTTTATCCCAGAGTGGGCATTTGTAGCTCAAAGTAGGGATCGTGTTATAAAGAATGAACATTTGGAAAAGGAGAAGGGGGGGTCAGGGTGCAAATAAATGAAAGAAAGAGACAGTATTGGTATGGGGGGTGCGTAATTAGTGAAGTAGCTAACCAAAGGTGATTAGTTTATGTGGACTTTATGGAGAAAAGTAGCATTTTGGGGAAGGGTACTGGGATTAAAAAAAAGATTGTACATCCTTCCCTTTCTCCATATGTAATGTTCAATTTTCAGTGGTTTATTTAGGTACATAATTCAGTCATGTGGACTTTTCAGTAATCTTTTTGTTGGTATTTTCAGCAGGCCTGCTCTCCTAAACTCTCAGGCTCTGCTTTCTGCAAGGAAGCTCAGCTGAAGAGATACCAAAGTAATATTTCACAGATCTGAGCACAGGCAATCCCCAGATCTCCAGCACCCTATCACTTTATCTCTTCCATTTCAATGCAATAAACACCTTTGCTTTACAAATAACTTCCTCGTGTCGCCCTGCTTGCTGAGAAGCTCGTTTAAGTGTCCGTGACACCTCGTTATTACATCTCAAGGGACACAGTTGATTTCTTTACTGAATTCTGAGCATAACTTCTACCCTCATCTTGAAGCACCTGCTGAAATGCAACACCTGGTGATTTCCTCTCCTCCCCTCGGCCCCAGGTGAGCAGCAGCCTAATGAGCATCTACAGCGCGGACTTCGGCAACGTGGACGTGAAGGGGACCATCCAGTTTGCTGTCGATTACGTAGAGCAGCTGAACGAGCTCCACATCTTTATCTGCCAGTGCAAGGACTTGGCAGTGGCAGACGTGAAGCGACAGCGTTCGGACCCGTAAGTACAGACAAGAGAGATTTATTTCCTAATGGAAGTCTTTCTTTTAATGTGAAAGTGAAAACCGATGGGTTTTTTTCTTAATCTCTATACCCTATTGGAGTGAACAACCTGATAAATAACTGAAGAGGCTACAACATACTTCATGTGGTTTTCCACTCTGAATATAGAATTGCCGCTATAAATTGGTGCATGTATTAACATGGGAAGCTCAAACTTCTAAGAATATGAAATTCTTTTTTGAAATTCAACTTTCCAGATGGGAAATCCTGCTTTGATACGTTTTCAATAGGATTAGAGCCTGTAAATATGATATCTAGGCAGACTATAGTTAAATATTCTGTATTTGTATGTGTTGAGGAGACACTTCAACAGATTCTCCCCGGTAGCAGGAGGTTCATGTCCCACTTTGGAAATCACTTCACCGGAGCTGTTCTATTTTTTAAATGTAGCAAGCTGAACAACATAATTAAATCTTAAATAATTAAATTAGATTCTGCCCCTCTACTCTGCACTCGTGAGATCCCACCTGAGTACTGTGTCCAGCTTTGGATACAAGTTTGGATGTCCAAGATATCAGAGGGCTGGAGCACCTCTCCTATGAGGACAGGCTGAGAGAGTTGGGGTTGTTCAGTCTGGAGAAGAGAAGGCTCCAGGGAGACCTTATAACAGCCTTCTAGTACTTGAAGGGGGCTACAGGAGAGAGAAGGGGACACTCATCAGGAAGTGTAGCAATAGGAGGAGGGGTAATGGTTTTAAACTGAAAGAGGGGAGATTTAGATGAGATATTAGAAGAAATTCTTTACTGTGGGGGTGGTGAGACACTGGAACAGGTTGCCCAGGGAAGTTGTGGCTGCCCCATCCCTGGAGGGGTTCAAGGCCAGGCTGGATGGGGCTTGGAGCAACCTGGTCTGGTGGGAGGTGTCCCTGCCCAGGGCAGGGGGGTTGGAACTCCATGATCTTTAAGGTCCCTTCCAACTCAAACCATTCCATGATTCTATGACAATGGCTAGTTAAATGGATTTCTTTTACTTTATGAGCCAATACTTGTGTATTTTTGGAAGGGGAGGTTGGAAAGGGTGGCGTTTTTTGCTCTTCTAACTAATTCTGTCTGAATTTTAGGTACGTAAAGACCTACCTGCTCCCAGAGAAATACAAGCTGGGCAAAAGGAAGACCTCTGTGAAGAAGAAAACTTTCAATCCAGTCTATAATGAAATCCTGCGGGTATTTATCAACTATTAATAGACATGAAATACTGTGTGTGTGAAGTATGAGGAGCTTCAACTTCTAGGTACAGGTCCAGATGGTCTCAAGAGGGACATCTGTGTCAGGATGAGATGGATTAACCCCTAGAAGTACCTACGTCCTCCCAGTGACAGGTTAACTCCACTCTAGATACAGCATTGGGAACACTGATTGTTGTGTCATACGAGGAGCTTCAACTTTTTAGGTGCAGGTCCAGATGGTGTCAAGAGAGACATCTGTGTCAGGCTGAGATGGATGAACCCCTAGAAGTACCTACATCCTCCCAGTGACAGGTTAACTCCACTCTGGATACAGCATTGGGAACACTGATTGTTGTGTGCCTCTTGCAAACAAACACAAGCTAAATATGAGCTTAAGATGCTCATATTGAAATTGATGAAATAAATTCATTGATGAAATAAAAAGTAAACGGTGAAGGGAGTTTTGCTTTGAAATAAAGAAGTGAGCAGTTACAGATGTCTAATCCCAGGCACGTTTTTCTCAAACCTTGTCCCTTTCATGTGCCAGCATTGATGAAAATCCAGCTTGTTTTAGCTTTTTTTCTCCTTTCTTCCTCCTTGCAGTACAAAATTGAGAAGAGTCTCCTACAGAACCAAAGCCTTAATATCTCTGTCTGGCACAACGATACCTTTGGGAGGAACAGCTTCCTCGGTGAAGTGGAGCTGGATTTAGGGACCTGGGACTGGAATGATAAATCCAACAAGCAGATCAAGTGGCTCCCACTCAAGCCAAGGGTAAGGCTGGGTTGGCTGTTCCCTATTTTCCACTCTGTAAGTAATTATGATCATAAAATACATCTTTACTGGTAAATGGAACGTACAGTTCTGGGGTTTCTATTAGGCAAGTAAGTAGCTGGCTCTTCCAGGAGGAAAAACTTTCTCATAGTAGGAATTTCAAGGTATTTTTCACTTACGTCGTGTTGCTGCAACAGAGACATGAAGACACTTGTTCCTGGAATATGAAGCAAACCTTTATGGTCCCTTCCAACTCTAAAAATTCCATGAAATTCTGTGAAAATTAGCTCAATCTATAGACTAAGGAGCAGGAATTTCAAGGTATTTTTCAGTTACATCGTGTTGCTGCAACAGAGACATGAAGACACTTGTTCCTGGAATATGAAGCAAACCTCCTGAGAACATGGAGCAAGTGCAGCAGTATCTTCACGTCAGGTGTAACGATGACTTCCACCTTTGTGTGCCTTGTTTGTTAATGTTGAGCTAAGCCACTGCCGGAGCTTCAGATTCTCCCCGGTAGCAGGAGGTTCATGTCCCACTTTGGAAATCACTTCACCGGAGCTGTTCTATTTTTTAAATGTAGCAAGCTGAACAACATAATTAAATCTTAAATAATTAAATTAGATTCTGCCCCTCTACTCTGCACTCGTGAGATCCCACCTGAGTACTGTGTCCAGCTTTAGACACAAATTTGGATGTCCAAGATGATCAGAGGGCTGGAGCACCTCTCGGTCTCCTGGTAGCAGGAGGTTCATGTCCCACTTTGGAAATCACTTCACCGGTGCTGTTCTATTTCTTGAATGTAACAAGCTGAACAACATAATTAAATCTTAAATAATTAAATTAGATTCTGCCCCTCTACTCTGCTCTCGTGAGACCCCACCTGAGTACTGTGTCCAGCTTTGGATACAAGTTTGGATGTCCAAGATATCAGAGGGCTGGAGCACCTCTCCTATGAGGACAGGCTGAGAGAGTTGGGGTTGTTCAGTCTGGAGAAGAGAAGGCTCCAGGGAGACCTTATAACAGCCTTCTAGTACTTGAAGGGGGCTACAGGAGAGAGAAGGGGACACTCATCAGGAAGTGTAGCAATAGGAGGAGGGGTAATGGTTTTAAACTGAAAGAGGGGAGATTTAGATGAGATATTAGGAGAAATTCTTTACTGTGGGGGTGGTGAGACACTGGAACAGGTTGCCCAGGGAAGTTGTGGCTGCCCCATCCCTGGAGGGGTTCAAGGCCAGGCTGGATGGGGCTTGGAGCAACCTGGTCTGGTGGGAGGTGTCCCTGCCCAGGGCAGGGGGGTTGGAACTCCATGATCTTTAAGGTCCCTTCCAACTCAAACCATTCCATGATTCTATGACAATGGCTAGTTAAATGGATTTCTTTTACTTTATGAGCCAATACTTGTGTATTTTTGGAAGGGGAGGTTGGAAAGGGTGGCGTTTTTTGCTCTTCTAACTAATTCTGTCTGAATTTTAGGTACGTAAAGACCTACCTGCTCCCAGAGAAATACAAGCTGGGCAAAAGGAAGACCTCTGTGAAGAAGAAAACTTTCAATCCAGTCTATAATGAAATCCTGCGGGTATTTATCAACTATTAATAGACATGAAATACTGTGTGTGTGAAGTATGAGGAGCTTCAACTTCTAGGTACAGGTCCAGATGGTCTCAAGAGGGACATCTGTGTCAGGATGAGATGGATTAACCCCTAGAAGTACCTACGTCCTCCCAGTGACAGGTTAACTCCACTCTAGATACAGCATTGGGAACACTGATTGTTGTGTGCCTCTTGCAAACAAACACAAGCTAAATATGAGCTTAAGATGCTGATATTGAAATTGATGAAATAAATTCATCGATGAAATAAAAAGTAAACGGTGAAGGGAGTTTTGCTTTGAAATAAAGAAGTGAGCAGTTACAGATGTCTAATCCCAGACACGTTTTTCTCAAACCTTGTCCCTTTCATGTGCCAGCATTGATGAAAATCCAGCTTGTTTTAGCTTTTTTTCTCCTTTCTTCCTCCTTGCAGTACAAAATTGAGAAGAGTCTCCTACAGAACCAAAGCCTTAATATCTCTGTCTGGCACAACGATACCTTTGGGAGGAACAGCTTCCTCGGTGAAGTGGAGCTGGATTTAGGGACCTGGGACTGGAATGATAAATCCAACAAGCAGATCAAGTGGCTTCCACTCAAGCCAAGGGTAAGGCTGGGTTGGCTGTTCCCTATTTTCCACTCTGTAAGTAATTATGATCATAAAATACATCTTTACTGGTAAATGGAACGTACAGTTCTGGGGTTTCTATTAGGCAAGTAAGTAGCTGGCTCTTCCAGGAGGAAAAACTTTCTTATAGACTAAGGAGCAGGAATTTCAAGGTATTTTTCAGTTACATCGTGTTGCTGCAACAGAGACATGAAGACACTTGTTCCTGGAATATGAAGCAAACCTCCTGAGAACATGGAGCAAGTGCAGCAGTATCTTCACGTCAGGTGTAACGATGACTTCCACCTTTGTGTGCCTTGTTTGTTAATGTTGAGCTAAGCCACTGCCGGAGCTTCTGGTTTCTTGCCTTTTTTTTATCTTGTTTTGTTTTGTTTTTTCCCCGCTCCCTTCAATTTATTTGATTAATTAATTGCAAATGCTTACAAGGATCTCAAGGGTGGGTTGAATTAGCTCAATCCAAAGATTTATAATTTGTAGAACGAACCAGGAATGTCACGGTAGCCTGTGGCACTACTTTAATTCAACTGATTTTCAAACTGCTCTGGGTAGATAAATGGAACCAAATTTCACTGAATTTCACTGAATTTCTAGAGTTGGAAGGGACCATAGAGATCATCTAGTCCAACTCCCCTGCTGAAGCAGGATTGCCTAGAGCTAGAGCATGTTACTCAGGAGCATCCAGGCGGGTTTTGAAAATCTCCAAAGAAGGGGACTCCACACCCTCCCTGGGCAGCCTGTTCCAGGGCTCGCTGCCCAGGGAGGGTGTGGAGTCCCCTTCTTTGGAGATTTTCAAGACCCGCCTGGATGCTCCTGAGTAACATGCTCTGACAAGCTCTGGGTGGTCCTGCTTCAGCAGGGGAGTTGGACTAGATGATCTCTATGGTCCCTTCCAACCCTAAAAATTCAGTGAAATTCCATGAAAATTAGCTCAATCCAAAGATGTATAATTTGTAGAACGAACCAGGAAGGTCATGGTAGCCTGTAGCACTACTTTAATTCGACTGATTTTCAAACTGCTCTGGGTAGATAAATGGAACCAAATTTCACTGAATTTCACTGAATTTCTAGAGTTGGAAGGGACCATAGAGATCATCTAGTCCAACTCCCCTGCTGAAGCAGGATTGCCTAGAGCTAGAGCATGTTACTCAGGAGCATCCAGGCGGGTTTTGAAAATCTCCAAAGAAGGGGACTCCACACCCTCCCTGGGCAGCCTGTTCCAGGGCTCTGTCACCCTCACCGTGAAGAAGTTTCTCCTCATATTTGAGTGGAACCTCTTATGTTCCAACTTGTGCCTGTTGCCCCTCGTCCTCTCGGTGGGAACCACTGAAAAGAGTCTGGCTCCCTCCTCCTTCAACCCTCCCTTGAGATACTTGTAGGCGTTGATAAGGTCTCCCCTCCCCTCCCTTCATGCTTGTCATGTTCCACATAGCGATGGTCCCTGACTCTCTATGAAGTGACACATTCTTGTGCCTTTTGGCAAGATAACTCTTGTTGAGGCTGATTTTTAGATCCCAACATTCCTACAGAAAAGAGTTCATTGAAGCTCACTTTCTGTTGTGCAAAGAGTAAGTTTCCTGGTTGAAGGAGCGTTTGTTCTAGTTTTAAATAAGTGCACAGCCGTGGAAAGGATGCGCCATCGAAGCCTTTTGGTGTCTCCTGGGTCTTGTTTTCCACTTTAGTGGGAGAGCTGTGTACCTGAGGCCATGTCAGATGGTTAAACTTGCCCTAAAATCTCTCATGTGCTGTAAACCAAAGGAAGACTAACGGATAAGGAAACGAGAAAAAAACCAAACTCTCCTCATGTAAAGTCCAGTTTCTCCCAGTGGAAACCTTTGTGTAGGAAACAGTGTGTGAACTGCAAGGTTTGAGATTTATGTTTTGTTTTGTTTTTTTTTTTCTTCTTAAATTTCAGACTTCAACAACAGCTCTTGAACTAGAAAGCAGAGGGGAGATGAAACTAGCCCTCCAGTACGTCCCACACCCCGTTGGAGGTACACGTTGCTGCTGTGCTTGGCTTTCTAAGGCCTCTGGGGTTTTTGTTCTCCCTTTTTTATTAAAAAAAAAAAAAAAAAAAGCTGTTTAATGTTTTTCAGCCAATTCAGATCTCTTGTTTTAATGTAGATTTATTTTTTTTTTATTATTATTACTTTTTTTCTAGAGGATTAATTCTAGAGGATTAAGTGAGTCATGAACTCAGTCTGGAATCTTCACTTTCACTTTAGGATCTTCTGTTGTATTTAATGTTACTACAGAAGAAATCACCTCATCGTTATAGTCTCAGCTGTGCAATGCAGGCTGTGTGTGTAACAAAATCGTGTTTTCTCCCTAATAATTTTAGAGATTAGAAATTGCCAGGCAGGTGCTGCCATTTGCTAAATAAATAATGGCAACGCACTAAACTCAAGCAATATTAGAAGTAGAAAATAGTAATTAGGATTTAGAATGCAGCAGTTCATAGCGGTGCGACCATCTTGTCTGGCAGCTGGTAACTGGCTGATGTGACAGTAAAGCCAGGCCAGGTCTTTAATCCAGCCAGTCAGTAAGAGTCAAATACATTAAGAGCACAAAGGAGTTTATTTGAAAGCACAAGTGCCAATAAATGTGAACATCACATGGGTTGAAGATCTCTTGATCTAGGAGGCTTGGAAAGAGAAGGCCAGTAGCTTGTATTTGTTCAGTTGTAACTAGAAGAAAAGTCATTGTAGGAATAAGGGCGTGATGTGATTTGCAGCCCTTTGATGGGGTGAAGATGGCAGCTTCCAGGGTGCAGGGAGGAATGGGGAATTATGATGGGAGATGATGAGAATCTAGGCTGGATATCACGGCTACACATGGGCAGAACTGCTCCATCCATAGAAATTACTTGAAAAAGGGATATACAAGGCATAATTAGATGTTTTCTTTTATTTTTACAGGAAAGAAGACTCAATCCACTGGTGAGGTCCACATCTGGGTGAAGGAATGCCATGACCTTCCTCTTCTGAGAGGCAACAGGCTCAACTCTTTTATTAAGTGGTAAGAACTGTGGTTGTGAAGTCATCAAACATGGGGGCCTAATGTGCTTTCTTCTTATCTTCTCTTCATTTTTCTACCTTCAAATTCAAAACCACCTCGTTATTTTCTGACTCTGGTCCCTGACTCTCTATGAAGTGACATATTCTTGTGCCTTTTTGCAAGATAACTCTTGTTGAGGCTGATTTTTAGATCCCAACATTCCTACAGAAAAGAGTTCATTGAAGCTCACTTTCTGTTGTGCAAAGAGTAAGTTTCCTGGTTGAAGGAGCGTTTGTTCTAGTTTTAAATAAGTGCACAGCCGTGGAAAGGATGCGCCATCGAAGCCTTTTGGTGTCTCCTGGGTCTTGTTTTCCACTTTAGTGGGAGAGCTGTGTACCTGAGGCCATGTCAGATGGTTAAACTTGCCCTAAAATCTCTCATGTGCTGTAAACCAAAGGAAGACTAACGGATAAGGAAACGAGAAAAAAACCAAACTCTCCTCATGTAAAGTCCAGTTTCTCCCAGTGGAAACCTTTGTGTAGGAAACAGTGTGTGAACTGCAAGGTTTGAGATTTATGTTTTGTTTTGTTTTTTTTTTTTCTTCTTAAATTTCAGACTTCAACAACAGCTCTTGAACTAGAAAGCAGAGGGGAGATGAAACTAGCCCTCCAGTACGTCCCACACCCCGTTGGAGGTACACGTTGCTGCTGTGCTTGGCTTTCTAAGGCCTCTGGGGTTTTTGTTCTCCCATAGGGCATTGGAACAGGCTGCCCAGGGAGGTGGTGGAGTCACCATCCCTGGCTGTGTTTAAGGGACGTTTAGATGCGGTACTGAGGGACATGGTGTAGGGGAGGACTTTGTAGAGTAGGGTAGATGGTTGGACTCGATGATCCCAAGGGTCTCTTCCAACCTCAATGATTCTATGATTCTATTCTAAGTGCAAACTGACAATGCTTTTTCTTCCTGCAGCACCATTCTTCCAGACACGAGCAGGAAAAGTCGCCAGAAAACAAGAACGGTGGCAAAAACGACGAACCCAGTGTTCAACCACACCATGGTCTATGATGGCTTCAGACCAGAAGATCTGAAAGAAGCCTGTGTCGAACTCACGGTCTGGGATCACAACAAACTGGCCAACCACTTTCTGGGAGGTCTCAGGATAGGCCTTGGGACAGGTACCACACAATTAACACATTAACCCTTAATTTACAAACTACAGTCTCTCCTTTTTTTCCCTTTCCTTTCTCTTTCTTCTTTTTTTTTGCAATTCTGTGATTGCTGAACAGCCTTGCAGTTATTTACTGAAGACTTTCATTCAGTAACTTCCCTGTTCTTCAGCACAGATCCTGAAATGTAAGTAACAGCAGTGTCAAGGGGGTTTAGGATGGCTGAGAAGTAAGGAGAAATATTAGAAATCAACCTTTGTCTGCCCGTACGTTGTAGCTGCTGCTGTTTGAAGTACAAAATATGCTCTTCCTGCACCCAAAATCTTGATAACGTCTGAGAAACTTACACATGCAAAACCAAGGTATGGGGTGCAAAGACAGCCTTGCAGTTATTTACTGAAGACTTTCATTCAGTAACTTCCCTGTTCTTCAGCACAGATCCTGAAATGTAAGTAACAGCAGTGTCAAGGGGGTTTAGGATGGCTGAGAAGTAAGGAGAAATATTAGAAATCAACCTTTGTCTGCCCGTACGTTGTAGCTGCTGCTGTTTGAAGTACAAAATATGCTCTTCCTGCACCCAAAATCTTGATAACGTCTGAGAAACTTACACATGCAAAACCAAGGTATGGGGTGCAAAGACAGTATGGGGTGGGGATAAAAGGACAGATCAGGAATGTGTGATAAGATTTGAAGATGTTCTACAGGAAACCTAAATGCAAACAAGTTTTTAGCAGAAGGGCAGTATGAGATGTGCAGATAGAAGAATTCTATGTTTTCATTATATTTGTCACTTTAATTGCCCTCTCTGGTCCAAGGGAGGGGTTGTGTTTGGAGCCTTTCCAAGCACATGCAAGAAAAATTAATTTCTCCCAAACTGGCCTCTTGCATGGTTCACCAGAATAAGCAGGACTCGGGAGGTGATGGTCCCCCTGTCTTCTCCCAAACTGGCCTCTTGCACAGTTCACCAGAATAACCAGGACTCGGGAGGTGATGGTCCCCCTGTACTGGGCACTGGTGAGGCCCCACCTCGAGGGCTGTGCCCAGTTTTGGGCCCCTCACCACAAAAAAGACATAGAGGGGCTGGAGCGGGTCCAGAGAATTACAATGGAGCTGGTGAGGGGTCTGGAGAACACATCTTATGAGGAGAGGCTGAGGGAGCTGGGGGTGTTCAGTCTGGAGAAAAGGAGGCTGAGGGGAGACCTTATTGCTCTCTACAACTCCCTGAAAGGAGGGTGTAGAGAGGTGGGGGTCGGTCTCTTCTCCCAAGTCACAGGTGATAGGACAAGAGGAAATGGCCTCAAGTTGCACCAGGGGAGGTTCAGGCTGGATATTAGGAAACATTTTGACACTGAAAGGGTCATCAGACATTGGAGTGGGCTGCCCAGGGAAGGGGTTGAGGCACCATCCCTGGAGGTGTTCAAAAGACAGGCTGACATAGAGCTTAGTGACATGGTTTAGTGATGGGTTTTTTTTATCAGTTAGGTTGCTGGTTGGACTAGATGATCTTAAAGACCCCTTCCAACCCAGACAATTCGATAATTCTCTGAATATCCTAAAATACACAGATTAGGACAGTAAATCTCAATTTGAATCTGAGAGTACCCAAGGTTGTATTTCAGTACAAAATCAGTGTCCTGTTTTATTCTTAAACCCTCTCAGCTGTTAATGGCCCCTATATCTGTCTCCTTGGGGTTGTGAAAAAAAGACTAAGGATACCAAGGGATCCGGAAAAAGATGAGGTAGTTTCTGCGTGGGACTGTCATTAATTGTATTTGACAGAATTGTTCAAGTGTAAAAACGTAGAACTGGATCTTCAAAGTACTGGGTCAGCCACCTGAGGAGGTGAAAGTGTTTTAGAAGACAGGCAGATTTGATTCCCAACTCCACAGCACATTAAGTAAAGTTTTCCTTAAATCTGACTTTTTTCTAGGCAAAAGCTACGGAACCACGGTAGAGTGGATGGATTCAACTTCAGACGAAACCGCCCTTTGGGAGAAGATGATAAACTCACCAAACACGTGGATAGAAGACACGCTACCTCTCCGGATGCTAATGGTTGCCAAATTGACAAAATAAGGTGGCTTTTAAATTGCTAGTGTCAAAAATAACCACCCTTGGGAATGAAATCTAAGGAATGGGAGTGGAACTCGGAAGAGGAACTCAGTCACTCTTTTGAGAGTCTCTGCTCTGTTGCTGCTCTGGTTTTGTTCTGTCAAATGTCACTTCGTATTTCAAATTAAACTTCTGCCTGCAGATTAGTACGTAAATTTAAAGGAGTCTTTTATTCACTAAAAATTGCTTCAAGGAAGAAGGCACCTGCAGAATTCAGTGGTGGAGGTAGCCGTGACACCTGGATGTTTGTGCTGCCGAACTGAAGTGTTGCTGCTCCCTTAAATAATCTAAATTACCAGCAGAAAAAGAAGAACAAGTCCCCTCTCTCTGTCCACTCCTGGGATTGCTCAAGAAGCATCATAAGATAGCAACAGGGGGCGTTTTGTTCACGCTCGTTAAGTATCTGTAACCTCATTATGGCATCTCAGATCTCTCCAGCGAGGAACAGGAGCATGAAGAATTTTATAATTTCTTTTTTTTGAAAGTTCCTATAGCTGTAGTTGCACATTTCTAGGATATGAAAATCGCTTCTTTAAGGAAAGAAGCATTACACGAAGCGGTACTGTCCATGTCCTGCTCTGCAGGGTGCAGAGGATTGTTAATTTTAATTTACTGTAGGAAATTAGGATTATAAAAAGTTGGTTTATATGTGTGTTAATTGTCTTGCTCGTATACAAACTTTCCCCTTACATGCTGAAGGCGTAGGAATCAAACCTTTTCCTTTATTCAAACGCTACTCTGAAGAGGCTAAACCTGCCAATTTTGGTGCCGACAAGTACGTTGGGTATTTATTCTGTAAAGAGCACTCTGTACCTCTCTCTGTCACCTCGGTTTTTCGCAAAAAAGTTCTTTATCTGTGCTTCAGCGCCACCGCTGGGAGAGCGCGGGGATTACGGGGCTCTGGGCTTGGGCAGCTTTGCAGCGTAGGGTGGATGTAACCTGTAGAACTGCCTGCTTCCAAAGATAAATGCCTAAAAGACAAAAATGTATTAAGTTTGGTTTGTTTTTTTTTAATAAAAGCAGCCTATTAAAGCTAAATAGGAATTCAGTGTTTATAAAAAGCCAGTGTTTTATGTTGGCAATTCAGCATGTGATGTAACAGAGAGCAGGCAGAAAAGATTTCTGACAATAAATGCACATTTATTTGCTCTGTGTAAGCCTGAAAGCTGGTGAAATCTCACACCTCAGTTAGAGGAGAAGGGGGCTCTACACAGCTCCAACTCAGATGCTTAATTTCATCAGAGAGGAAATCTCACACCTCAGTTAGAGAAGGGGGCTCTTCACAGCTCCAACTCAGATGCTTAATTTCATCAGACACATGTAAATGCTGCTTGGTTTTTATTACACATTATGAATGGGAAAAAGGAAAGGCACTGGTCACCCCGCTAGGGGAGACCTGAAATCTCACACCTCAGTTAGAGGAGAAGGGGGCTCTACACAGCTCCAACTCAGATGCTTAATTTCATCAGAGACATGTAAATGCTGCTCGGTTTTTATTACACATTATGAATGGCAAAAGGAAAGGTGCTGGTCACCCCGCCGGGGAAACCACTTCCTCTCTCACAGACCAGGCACCTGTGGAGCTTCCAACTGCCCAAAGAGGCTGTCGGTCTTGGGGTGTTCCAGGTGAGACCAGTGGCTGCTATAGAGGCCACTTGGCCAGATACACACACACACACACACACACACACAAGAGTATGACCAGGGAGAAGCAGAACATCTGTGCCACCATCCACCACACACACCAGTATTCTTGTAGGACCAGGGAGAAGCAGAACATCTGTGCCACCATCCAGTGTGACCTGGCCAGGCTGGAGAGCTGGGCAGAGAAGAACCTAATGAAGTTCAACAAGGGCAAATGTAGGGTCCTGCACCTGGGGAGGAAGAACCCCAGGCACCAATACAGGTTAGGGGTGGATCTTCTGGAAAGCACTGCTGAGGAGAAGGATCTGGGGTCCTGGTGGACAGTAAACTATCCATGGGCCAGCGATGTCCATTGGCCCCAACAGGGCCAATGGAACCCTGGGCTGCACAGGGAAGAGTGTGGCCAGCAGGTTGAGGGAGGTCATTCTCCCCCTCTACTCTGCACTGGTGAGGCCACAACTGGAATACTGCCTCCAGTTCTGGGCTCCCCAGTTCAAGAGGGACAGGGAACTACTGGAGAGAGTCCAGCGAAGGGCAACCAAGATGATTAAGGGATTAGAGCACCTCCCTTATGAGGGAAGGGAGAAGAGAAGGCTGAGGGGAGACCTTATCTATGCTGACAAGTATCTAAAGGTGGGTTGAAGGATGTTGGAGCCAGACTCTTTTCAGTGGTTTCCAGTGACAGGACGAGGGGCAACGGGCACAAGCTGGAACATGGGAAGTTCCACTCAAATATGAGGAAGAACTTCTTTATGGTGAAGGTGCCAGAGCCCTGGAACAGGCTGCCCAGGGAGGGTGTGGAGTCCCCTTCTCTGGAGACTTTCAAGACCCACCTGGATGCAGCCCTGAGTGATGTGCTCTGGGCAACCCTGCTTTGGCAGAGGAGTTGGACTGGATGATCTCTATAGAGGTTCCTTCCAACTCTGACAATTCCGTGATCTGTTCTCTCACTACTCTCTCTCCCACCATCCTACAGCCAGACACAGCATTTTGGCATTATCTCAAAAGACACCGTTTACCGCTACACTAAATAGAGCAAAACTCAGTTTACATTTTGAAAAGCTACCTGAACATAATTAGAATTGCAGTGCACAAGTAAATCTTAATTAGTGTTATTAACTAATGGCACAGCAGTATTATGTACTCATCTAGATCAACTACGAAACTGAGCCAAGTAACAAAGCAGGCCCTTTAGTACAAAAATTCAGCGTTCCTCCCCAGTTTTTAATACCTTTTTTCAGCACGTTCAGAAAATGGAGACTGTTAGAGGTGAACCTCTAAGGACAGTTGTCACCACACACAAAAGTGCTTCCAAATTTTCCAGGAGGTCAGTGGAGGCAGCGACAGCAGCACCTCTGAAAAGCGTACTGGCACTTAACAACACTAAGTATTTTAAAGTTGTTATCACTGAGTATGCATCAAGCTACAGATCTTTAACTCAGCACCTGTGCTTATCTTTTGTTACTGTTGTCATACACAAGAGAAGTCCCAGTTGTCCTGGTGAGATGAAGTGCAGTAGAAGGGAAGATAACAACCAAAGCTGCTTTATCAGTAGGAAAAATACTTTGATTACGCTATAGGATTTAATGATATTACAATTTCACCTCCTGCTAAAGAATATCTTGTTGCTTTATTAAAGAGTACTTGAAGGTAATGGCTGCATCTAATCATGTAAACCAGCAGGGATTCTGTACTGAAAATATCTAACTGAAATAATACAAAACACACTTTTTAAAAAAAAGGTTATTGATATTTTTTGGCATCCCTCTGAACACTGATCACGTTACAAACACAGCTTTTCACCAGTCAGTCACTCCCAACTACAGCAATGTGCCCCAGGTCCGTAACACGCTGATAGAGAGATGCAAGTTTATGAAGTTGATCAGGACAAAAAGTTTCAAGAAACTGGTCTCTTCACTTTACAATCACAAGGAAAGGCTTTAGTCATCCCCAACAAAAACTTTAAAGGTGTCTAGTTAATTTCTCACTAAAGGGCTGTTCCATAAATTGATAGCTATGCTTTGATTTTTAATTCCAGTTCACCTTTATGAAAAAGCAACTATAATCCTAAAATGCCTTTGTGTATATTCATCCTTGCCCAGAGAAACGGGAGAAACACACCACTTGGGAAACACTTTCCTCCACTTTACAAGCTCATCTTTGCTTAAGGCCAGAATGGGGGTTTTTGGTACATACATGTGTATATGCACATATATAAGCATCTATATAAGTTCTAAATTACACCCTCTTTACCTATCAACCAGGCTTCAAAGTGCCAGCTCTCCTTCCACGCCCTGCATTTCAGAAACCTTCCACTCCTTTTTCCTCCTCCCTTTTCTGCGGGTACAGCCGCCAACCCGAGCTGGCACCGCTGCCCATTGCAAGATCTGGTCCTGAGCCCTCCTTGTCATCTCAGCTTCACCTCCTTCGCTTCACTCGCTCCTCTTTGCCTTTCCCACTGGAGTCAGCGAAACCTGCACCTTTTTCATAGAATCATAGAATCATTGAGGTTGGAAGAGACCCTTGGGATCACCGAGTCCAACCATCTACCCTACTCTACAAAGTCCTCCCCTACACCATATCCCTCAGTACCGCATCTAAACGTCCCTTAAACACAGCCAGGGATGGTGACTCAACCACCTCCCTGGGCAGCCTGTTCCAATGCCCTATCACTCTCTCTGTGAAAAATTCCTTCCTGATGTTCAATCTAAACCTACCCTGTTGGAGCTTGAAGCCATTCCCTCTTGTTCTATTGTTAATTACCTGTGAGAAGAGACCAGCACCAACCTCTCTACAGTGTCCTTTCAAGTAGTTGTAGAGAGTGATGAGGTCTCCCCTCAGCCTCCTCTTCCTCATACTGAACAGCCCCAGCTCCTTCAGCCGCTCTTCATATGATTTGTCTTCTAGGCCCTTCACCAGCTTCGTTGCCCTCCCCTGCACTCGCTCCAGCACCTCGATATCTCTCTTGTATTGAGGTGCCCAAAACTGGACACAATACTCCAGGTGTGGCCTCACCAGTGCTGAGTACAGGGGCACAATCACCTCCCTACTTCTGCTGGTCACACTATTTCTAATACAAGCCAGGATGCCGTTGGCTTTCTTGGCCACCTGGGCACACTGCCAGCTCATATTTTTCTTCCCACCTCTACGTTTTTTTATTCCCTTCTGCTCCTATCTAACAGATTTTTTCGTTAACTGCCGAATGAAGTTGCAAGTTTTTTATGGGAAGGGCTGAGTCTGTACTTACTGTGGACCTTCGGCGCGTTCTGAGAAGGTGGGAGCCTGCTGTCCTGATCTCCTCCAGCCCACGCAGGGCTTCTGGCAAGTTCAGAGACTTCTGGAAATCCTCTTCCCTGTCCCAAATCCAGGTGCCTCCGAGAGCGTCAGCAGGTGTTCTGTTCGCTAAGAAACACTCTCTGCTCTTTCAGCCACTCTGGCGTGGCTGGCCCAGTCCCAACTGGCACGAGCACTGGGGTGACTGGGTTCAGCCTCTTATCTCCTTGGAGACAGAAGTGGCAACAAACAGGACGGGGGGGAAAGAAAACACCTGGTAAGAAAACATTTTTCTCTTCTTAAACCCTGCTCTTCATTGTGTCCCCACCGGATGGCCTGAACCTTTTAGTCCTTCCCCCTCTGTTCTTTCTGGGTGTTTTGGCAGGATCCAGGGGAACAACAGGGGTTTGGGGGGTGCAGGGTGGTGGAGAGAGGTACCATCCCTAATGACGGTCACTGCCCCACAGCTCGGAGGTTGCACGGGCCTCACTTCATTCCCACTGTACGTTATTTTCCACTCTTCCTTTCAGCTGGCTCCTTCCCACATCCCATCTTCACCTCCAGTCCACCCAGGAATTCCAGGTCTGTGTGTGAATGCACAACTCACACCTCAGTTTTAGGCTAACTTTTCACAAATCTGGGTAGCGTGCCAGATCATTAGGCACCAATAATGATTCTGGTGCCGGTGTCATATAAAATATTTCCTTAAATTTTGCACAAGGAACCAGACTTTTGGAATTACATGCCCAATTTACTGCCTAAAATGCCTGATTTCCCCTATTGCAAATAATGGTTGGTAATTTGAGTTTTGCCTTATTGCAAATCAGGGTCAAAACTCAAATTACCAACCACTCCTCCAGACACAAAGCCTTTGTATCACAGGGCATTCAGTAATTATTAGCATTGTATAGATCTTTTATTTTATTAAGAAATCTCTAAGTGGGGGATAGGGCTATTCAGTTACTTTTAATGAGCACTATACTACTAAAATCTTAAAAATCAATTAAAAGTTGGATGTAACCCTTCATGTTTTACTCGCATTTATAATACCAGATCTGTAGAGGAAAAACAAAGGCAGAGGAAAAGGATTGCTTAAGTAATTATTTACAGCTTTATCACTTACAAGCTTTTTACCTAAATATAATGGTATTTCTTGTAGCTACAACAACAGCGCTTTGAGAAGGAATAATTAGCAAAGCTAGCAATCAGCAAATGAATAGGCTTGCATAAGTATTAAGCCTACATTCTTTGCTTCTGCAGCATGGAGCCTGGCATCCCTCTCCTCGGTGTGCCTGGCCGAAGCAGGGGGAGGAGGGCTGCAGGCCACCGTTGGTTTTGGGCTGTCCTGTCCCCCCCCCCCACCAGTTTCTCTGCCCTTCCAGAGACACTCCAGCAGCTCATGGCAGTGACACCGGCCACACAGCCACTGGGTGCTGCTTAATTATGCTGAATGTCATTAAAACAAGCAGTCGCTACAAAATTTTAATCTCGTCTTTATGTCAGACAGGGGCTCCATGGCTCAGGACGAGAGGGAGGCAGGGATGGGCACCACCACGAGTGATCCAGAGATGGGTGAAGACACGGAAGGTGTGACAAAAGGCCTGGAGGAACTCTGCGAGAGCCCCGGGGAGGAAAAGAGTGAGAAGGATCTGCTGCATTCGCGCCTGGAACAGCAGCACCACCTCATCTGCATACTGAAGAAAAAAGCAGACGACATGCGCAAACCCTGCAGAGACCTGGAGCAGCTCAACATGGAGCTGGAGAAACTGAGGACAGAGGATGCCATCAAAATGAAAACCCAGACCCAACGGATTCAGCAACTGGAGGAACGCTTCAAGGATCTGGCCAACAACCATGAAAAAATGATCCAGTTCAAGAACGAACACAGGAAACGGCACATGGAGCTGCTGGAGGAGAACAAGCGCCTGCAGCAGGAGAACAAAGCGCTCTTCAGCCAGAGTGTGAAGGAGAAGGAAGCTGAAGTGCTCCAGCTCATCGTCCAGGCCAGAAAGCTCTCAGAGCAGTTAGACTCCTTACAGGAGAAATGTGCTTCCCAGAGTCGCAGGGCCCAGGAGAGAGAAAAGGAGCTGCTGGAAGCTCAGAGCCAGCAAGCCAGCGCCTACGCCCGGGAAGTCGATTCATTGAAAAACCAGCTGCAACGCCTGCAGGAGAAGCACCACCAAACCGTGGCGCAGCTGGAGCAGGCAGAGAGTCAGCGGCAGGCTCAGGGCAGCGAGCTGCAGGCCAAGCTGCAGAAGGCAAACAAGGAGAAAGAGAGCCTGCTGAACCTGGCCACGGAGAGGGGCAAAGCCCTGCAAGACAAGCAACGGGAAATGGAGCAGCTGGGGAAGAAGCTGGAGGCTGCCAAGAAAGCCAGGCAGAGAGCGGCAAAGCGGCTCGCCAAAGAGGCGGTGGTGGACAACGATCTGAAGGTCCAAGAGCTCCAAGGACAGCTGGAAAGCAGCAAGCAGGCCTACGACCAACTCTTGCTGCAGTTCAAGGCTTACAGAGAGCATAGTATGGATTTACTGACCAAAGAAAAAGCGCTGAATGTCGAACTCCGTCATTTTAGTTTGTAACGGCCGCTTTCCCCTCTGTTCTGGTCTCGGCAGGTGCCTCGACTGCACCGCACCACCGCAACGCACCACCGCGCTCTTTTCCTGTCCACGACAGCATCTTCTGGTTTCTCTGTAAAGTACTTACCACCTTAAATCCTCCTCAAAGGACTGTTCTCTAGCCTTTTTTTTTTTTTGTTACGCTTTTACCTAAGCAAGAGCCAAGAAAGCCAATGGCATTCTGGCTTGTATCAAAAATAGTGTGACCAGCAGAAGTAGGGAGGTGATTGTGCCCCTGTACTCAGCACTGGTGAGGTCACACCTCGAGTATTGTGTCCAGTTCTGGGCACCTCAATACAAGAGAGATATCGAGGTGCTGGAGCGAGTGCAGAGGAGGGCAACGAAGCTGGTGAAGGGCCTGGAAGACAAATCATATGAAGAACGGCTGAAGGAGCTGGGGCTGTTTAGTATGAGGAAGAGGAGGCTGAGGGGAGACCTCATCACTCTCTACAACTACTTGAAAGGACACTGTAGAGAGGTTGGTGCTGGTCTCTTCTCACAGGTAATTAGTGACAGAACGAGAGGGAATGGCTTCAAGCTCCAACAGGGTAGGTTTAGATTGAACATTAGGAAAGAATTTTTCACCAAAAGAGTGATAGGGCATTGGAACAGGCTGCCCAGGGAGGTGGTTGAGTCACCATCCCTGGCTGTGTTTAAAGGCTGTTTAGATGCAGTGCTGAGGGATATGGTGTAGGGGAGGACTTTGTAGAGTAGGGTAGATGGTTGGACTCGATGATCCCAAGGGTCTCTTCCAACCTCAATGATTCTATGATTCTATGTTAAAGCTGAGCGGGGACTGTTGAACTAGTCAAACCTGTGACATGAGAGATTAGGGTGGAAAACGTAAAATATGAATTTATTTAGTTCCAACCTGTGCTGTATCATAGATTTTAATTTTTTTACAGTTAAAAGCATGTTATTTTCCACAACAGACCAAAGCTCCAACCCTTAGCCTTTTGCATTTGATTCTCCCTTGAAGTTCAGCAAAGGCTGGGCATGGAAGAGGTTACACTGCGGCTCCAAGAGAGAAATCCCACCTTGTAATGTCACTGTCACAAAGAGTCAGGATTCAGCAGCTGAACAGGTCAGAACAGTAACGATATTACGACACCTGACACTCAAGCAAATTACTGTGTACCACTGTCTGGCAGCCTCGTGCATTTCCACAGTTGCTATGACGTTAAATAAAACTAAAACCATGATTTATATCCCTGTTCAGCTCAAAATACATCGACAGGTCTCTGGGTGATTTCAATGGTCTTTGAAACAGGCTGAGGTTCTAGATGTTCTGCCCGTTTAAGCGTTTTCGGTTTATTGGGTGTTTTTCTGTAGAGAAAATAGCACGAATGCACAAAATGCAAGGGTGTATGCCTGGCAGCTTTTGACAAAAAAATAAGTCTTTCCCTTTCCTGTCAGCACTCCCTCCTGCCTCTCGCTCAGCCACGGAGGAGGTGTTTGGCTGCTGAGTTTAGCTCCTTCTTTTTAACTCTCCAACAGAAAAAACATGATGGGCCAAACGGTATCCTCCACTTGAGCTGTAGGCAGCTGCCTCCGGAGCTCCCCAGGTTCTTTCCCAGTGTCTGTGTGTGTGTATATGTACCTTGTGTGTGTGTGTATACACACCCTGTGTGTGTGTGTGTGTGTATACACACCCTGTGTGTGTACACATAACTTGGGGTAACTGAACGGGTAGTGGTTTGGGTAGCTCTTGGTCCTGAGTATCTATGAAGCAGCAGCATCGCATCAAACCTGGCATCCGTTGAGCCCCGTGTCCAGAAGTGTACAGAAACGGCCAGAAGATCCTCCAGCTCGTGACCAGTTCATCTCAAGGACTTGCTGAACCAGATGTGGCTTCTAAATAAGTAGTAGCTCTCAATCGACTCATCTTCTGAACTTCTCCAGCCTCTCCTGGAACAAAGCCAGGTGAGAATTACTGCTCCACTACCTGCTGGACGAAGAACCATAGATTTTCATTTCATCCTGGCTCCTACAAGTGACATTCCACACCACTTTCATGGACCACATCCTCCCACCTTTTCCCCCTGACATGCCCACCTCATGTGCACATTTAATTAATCTAAACACAGGCGTCTGCACTGTAAACACCAACTGACCCAGGCTACAAACGAGGCCTGGGGTCTGAGAGGAAGGAACAGGGTAGGACTTTAGTTGGCCACTCTGTTCTAATTAGTCGAGGAGTGCATGTTTCCCTCCAGTGACTGCAAAAGCACCTGAAAATAGGTACCACATAGTCTAAATCTGGGCAGAGGACACCCACTCGCTGTGTGACAGAACACCCCAACACACCCCCAGTCCAGCCCCTGCCCTGCTCTGGCAGGAAAGCCCCCAAAACACCACCTTCCCTGGGGCCATTCGCCTTCCCTTGGCCGAGTCTGTGGGTGAGACCTCTCTCACACATACACCCTGCACACCCCCCTCCACCACCCACCACACACACCCTTCCTCACTCACACACATCCCTTCACTCACATCCTTCACAGAGGGCCCCACACACACACACCTCACACAGCCCCAAACAATCCCCTCGCACACACACCCCCCTTCAACTTTCACACACACCCCTCACCCGCCCAACAACCTTCACACACATAGGACCTTCCCCTCACCCCCAAACAACCCTCATGCACACAGACCCCTCCTCACACACCCTACACACCCCCAAATAGCCCTCACACACACACACACACCCCCTTATCCCCCCCCAAAACAAACCATCACACGAACACACGCCCTCAATCCTCACACATACAGGACCTTCCCTACCCCTCTCCCCCCAATAAACCTATCTTCCCACAGACCTCCTTCACACACCCCCTCACCTCTCACACATACAGGACCTTCCCCTCGCCCCCAACTAACCCTCACACACACACAGACCCCTCCTCACACACCTTACGCCCCCCAAACAGCCCTCACACAGATGCCCCTCACCCCAACCAACCCTCATACAAACAGACTTCCTTCACACAACCCCTCAACCCTCACACATACAGACAGCCTGGCCCCTCAAACAAACCACACATCCTTCCCTCCCACCAAACAACCTTCACACACACATACACCCTCAAAAGCCCTCACACACACTCCTCAACCCCCCCCCTAAACCAACCCTCACACAAACAGACCCCCTTCACACACCCCCTCAACCCTCACACATACAGACAGCCTGGCCCCTCAAACAAACCACACACCCTTCCCTCCCACCAAACAACCTTCACACACACATACACCCTCAAAAGCCCTCACACACACTCCTCACTCCTCTCCCCCACAAACCTCCTTCAAACACCCCCTCAACTCTCACACATACAGGACCTTCCCCTCGCCCCCAACTAACCCTCACACACACACAGACCCCTCCTCACACACCTTACGCCCCCCAAACAGCCCTCACACAGATGCCCCTCACCCCAACCAACCCTCATACAAACAGACTTCCTTCACACAACCCCTCAACCCTCACACATACAGACAGACAGCCCCCTCAAAAACCCCACACATCCTCCCCCCCACCAAACAACCTTCACACACACATACCCCCTCAAAAGCCCTCACACACACTCCTCACCCCTCTCCCCCCCAAAAACCTACCTTCCCACAGACCTCCCTCACACCCCCCCTTAACTCTCCCACATACAGGACCTTTCCCTCACCCCCAACTAACCCTCACACACACACAGACCCCTCCTCACCCACCTTACGCCCCCCAAACAGCCCTCACACAGATGCCCCTCACCCCCACCAACCCTCATACAAACAGACTTCCTTCACACAACCCCTCACCCCTCACACATACAGACAGACAGCCCCCTCAAAAACCCCACACATCCTCCCCCCCACCAAACAACCTTCACACACACATACCCCCTCAAAAGCCCTCACACACACTCCTCACCCCTCTCCCCCCCAAAAACCTACCTTCCCACAGACCTCCCTCACACCCCCCCTTAACTCTCCCACATACAGGACCTTTCCCTCACCCCCAACTAACCCTCACACACACACAGACCCCTCCTCACCCACCTTACGCCCCCCAAACAGCCCTCACACAGATGCCCCTCACCCCCACCAACCCTCATACAAACAGACTTCCTTCACACAACCCCTCACCCCTCACACATACAGACAGACAGCCCCCTCAAAAACCCCACACATCCTCCCCCCCACCAAACAACCTTCACACACACATACCCCCTCAAAAGCCCTCACACACACTCCTCACCCCTCTCCCCCCCAAAAACCTACCTTCCCACAGACCTCCCTCACACCCCCCCTTAACTCTCCCACATACAGGACCTTTCCCTCACCCCCAACTAACCCTCACACACACACAGACCCCTCCTCACCCACCTTACGCCCCCCAAACAGCCCTCACACAGATGCCCCTCACCCCCACCAACCCTCATACAAACAGACTTCCTTCACACAACCCCTCACCCCTCACACATACAGACAGACAGCCCCCTCAAAAACCCCACACATCCTCCCCCCCACCAAACAACCTTCACACACACATACCCCCTCAAAAGCCCTCACACACACTCCTCACCCCTCTCCCCCCCAAAAACCTACCTTCCCACAGACCTCCCTCACACCCCCCCTTAACTCTCCCACATACAGGACCTTTCCCTCACCCCCAACTAACCCTCACACACACACAGACCCCTCCTCACCCACCTTACGCCCCCCAAACAGCCCTCACACAGATGCCCCTCACCCCCACCAACCCTCATACAAACAGACTTCCTTCACACAACCCCTCACCCCTCACACATACAGACAGACAGCCCCCTCAAAAACCCCACACATCCTCCCCCCCACCAAACAACCTTCACACACACATACCCCCTCAAAAGCCCTCACACACACTCCTCACCCCTCTCCCCCCCAAAAACCTACCTTCCCACAGACCTCCCTCACACCCCCCCTTAACTCTCCCACATACAGGACCTTTCCCTCACCCCCAACTAACCCTCACACACACACAGACCCCTCCTCACCCACCTTACGCCCCCCAAACAGCCCTCACACAGATGCCCCTCACCCCCACCAACCCTCATACAAACAGACTTCCTTCACACAACCCCTCACCCCTCACACATACAGACAGACAGCCCCCTCAAAAACCCCACACATCCTCCCCCCCACCAAACAACCTTCACACACACATACCCCCTCAAAAGCCCTCACACACACTCCTCACCCCTCTCCCCCCCAAAAACCTACCTTCCCACAGACCTCCCTCACACCCCCCCTTAACTCTCCCACATACAGGACCTTTCCCTCACCCCCAACTAACCCTCACACACACACAGACCCCTCCTCACCCACCTTACGCCCCCCAAACAGCCCTCACACAGATGCCCCTCACCCCCACCAACCCTCATACAAACAGACTTCCTTCACACAACCCCTCACCCCTCACACATACAGACAGACAGCCCCCTCAAAAACCCCACACATCCTCCCCCCCACCAAACAACCTTCACACACACATACCCCCTCAAAAGCCCTCACACACACTCCTCACCCCTCTCCCCCCCAAAAACCTACCTTCCCACAGACCTCCCTCACACCCCCCCTTAACTCTCCCACATACAGGACCTTTCCCTCACCCCCAACTAACCCTCACACACACACAGACCCCTCCTCACCCACCTTACGCCCCCCAAACAGCCCTCACACAGATGCCCCTCACCCCCACCAACCCTCATACAAACAGACTTCCTTCACACAACCCCTCACCCCTCACACATACAGACAGACAGCCCCCTCAAAAACCCCACACATCCTCCCCCCCACCAAACAACCTTCACACACACATACCCCCTCAAAAGCCCTCACACACACTCCTCACCCCTCTCCCCCCAATAAACCTATCTTCCCACAGACCTCCTTCACACACCCCCTCACCTCTCACACATACAGGACCTTCCCCTCGCCCCCAACTAACCCTCACACACACACAGACCCCTCCTCACACACCTTACGCCCCCCAAACAGCCCTCACACAGATGCCCCTCACCCCAACCAACCCTCATACAAACAGACTTCCTTCACACAACCCCTCAACCCTCACACATAAAGCCAGACAGCCCCCTCAAACACCCCACACATCCTCCCCCCACCAAACAACCTCCACACACACATACCCCCTCAAAAGCCCTCACACACAAAAAAAAAAGCCCCCCCCCCCAAACCAACCCTCACACAAACAGACCTTCACACACTTCCTCAACTCTCACAAATACAGGACCTTTCCCTGACCCCCCAACTAACCCTCACACACACAGACTTCCTTCACACACACAGACAGCCAGCCCCCTCAAACACCCCACACATCCTCCCCCCACCAAACAACCTCCACACACACATACACCCTCAAAAGCCCTCACACACACGGGCGCCGTCTGGCCGCTCGCCGGCGCGGGGCAGGCCCCGAGAGGACGGGATGGCGGCGGGGAAGGGGATCCGGGGCCCGCGCGGCCCAAACAACAGCAGCCGCCGCGGCGGGAGGCGGGCGCCTTGGAGCCGCGGCGGCAGGAGAAGGAAGCGGAGGCGCCCGGTGGCCCGCTGGAGGGGTGGGAGCAAGAGGACTGGTTCCCGGGGTTGGAGCTGGGAGACCTGCTGGAGGCTGCCCGGCCGGACTGGGACCTAGACGCGGAGCTGAGCGGCTGCTTCTGTGGGGAACCGGAGCCGCTTCCCCCGCCGGGCCCGGGCCAGAGGCCGGCGACGGCGGGGCGGAGGAGCGGCGGGGGGGGG